GTCAAACCTCCCAGTGCTTAGGAAGCAAATACTTAATTTTCAGCTGATTTTTATTTCAAAGAGATTTATAGTGAATCACACTTAAATGGCAGAGAGTGAATTATAGCTGATGTTATCAAAAACATCAATTTTGCAGGAATAACGCTGAAAGAAGAAAGCATACACTTTTATCTTCAAAATGACTGAAACAGAGATTGTTTGCTATGACATCTTCATAAAATTGTAGTTCTTAATAGAAAGTTTAAATCATTTTAAATGGAAGAAATACATTTCTTTTCAACAAAATCTCTAAATAGTATTTGGTACCTGAAGTGTTGCTGTGTAATGAGAATTTCACCCATTCCTAAGTTTTAATCAATTCTAATAGCTTGGTATAAAAAGCTTTTGGTTCAAGTATTTGAATGTTTGAAAATCCAATAATACATAAGCATAATAACTTTTTCATGGATAAATAAAATCCCTTGGCAGTCACGAGGTGAGTCGGGATATACTCCTGAGATGGTCATCAATGGAGAACATTAATCAAGGAGAGTGAAAATTGAATGCAATTAATAGCCTGAGAATTAGAAATAGTTTCCTAACAGAAATGAAACACCGGTTGATTCCACATTTCATGGTAAGCATACGGTGAATTCAGGCAATTTGGACAAGAATCCAGGATACTTGGGACACTTTCCCCGATATTCTAATGGTTCCTGCCAAACACAGAGATGAATAGTAAGAGATAAGCACAATATTCTCCGTCCTCACATATCCACTTGTTTGCCACTTTACCTTAAACGTGGCAGCTACAAAAAGGACACAAATGCTTTCCACTCCTCAATTCTGCGAAACAGTACATTCTGAATATTTTCTATTGTTGAAGCTTATTTTAAAAGGATGAAATACATTACTTTTCAACAAAAACTTTAAATAGTATTTGGGTTATATACAGGGTTAAATAGTACAGGGTTAAAGACCATGGGATCTTAGTCATTAGCATGTAGTCAACATAAAAGAGAATTTAATTTAACTCAAATTATCGAATATTTCCTACAACAAGAAGAGAGAGGGCAGGAAACCAAAGAGCTCTCTGAAGATTGACAATCTCTTACAAAAAGAAAGACATCAATAATGATCAAAGAATAAATTGTTAAGTGAAAGTTTGCGTGTTTCTTCCTGTCAAATCATGTTTTATTCTTATCAAGACAGCAAACAAGAACTTCCTTCCAAATATGGCAAGTTGAGTTCTTATGAATATTGTAGGATTAAACAGACAAGCAAACAAACATATGTACTCAAAGAGAATACTGCTAATGTTTCTGAAAGTAAATATTAGACTAAACATTTTTAAACACTTGTTCCCTATAAAGATATAAAGTTATATTATAAATAAAGACATGGTTATAAAATAAACATGTCAACTGTGTCTGTTGCTTGACTGAAAATCTTCTTATAGCTTGATAAAATGACAGCCTACAGAACGGGAAAAGATCTTCACAAACCCCACATCAGACAGAGGTCTGATCTCCAAAATATACAAAAATCTCAAGAAATAAAGAACAAATAATACAAAAAAAATTGGAGTATAGACCTAAACAGAGAACTCTCAACAGAGGAATCTAAAATGACTGATGGATACTTAAGGAAATGTTCAACATCCTTAGCCATCAGAGAAATGCAAGAAAAAATAACTATGAGATTCAATCTTACACTGTTAAGAATGGCTATGATCAAAAACACTAATGACAACTTATGCTGGGGAGGTTTTGGAGTAAAGAGTAAAGGGAACACTCCTGCATTGTTGGTAGGAGTGCAAAGTGGTAGAACACCTTTGCGTATCAGTATGGCAATTTCTCAGAAAATTAGAAAACAACCTTTCTCAAGGCCCAGCAATACCACTTTTGTGTATATGTCAAAAGGATACTCAATCATACCACAAGGGTGTGTGCTCAACTATGTTCATTGCAGCATTGTTTGTCATAGCCAGAAGCTGGAAACAACCTAAATGCCCTTGACCAAAGAATGGATAAGGAAAATGTGGTACAACAGAAAAAAATAATGACATTTTGATTGATGGAGCTAGAAAACATCATATTGAATGAGGTAACCCAGACCCAGAAAGACACTTATCATTTATACTCAGTCATAATTGGTATATAAACATAAAGCAAAGAAATCCAGCATACAAATCACAAACCCAGAGAAGCTAGACAACAATGAGGATCCTAAGAGAGATATACATGAATCTAATCTATATGGGAAGTATAGAAGACAAGCTCTCTTGAGTAAACATGGAGCATGGCGACCATGGGAGAGGGATGAAGGGGAGGAGAATGGAAATGAGGGGAGCAGAGAAAAATATACAGCTCAATAAAACCAATAAAAGAAATTTAAAAAAGAAAATGAAAAAGAAATTACTAGGTGTGGAAATCCTTAAGTAGAAATGAAGGAGAACAGGGGTTGGGGGCGGATCAACCAGTAATAAAGATACAAAAAAAAACAAAAAAAATAAAGATTTCTAATGTTTCCAATAGAAAATGAAAGAAGAAAATCAAAGAAATGAGAAAAATTCGGACAGTGAGGGAGTACATACAAGAATTAGTGTTGTGCTTGATGAAGCTGTTATTAAACTAATGTTCATCAATTGAACAAATGACTCTGGCTTGAGAACAGAGTTAATGTCTGTATGAAGAAAGAACCCTTGTTCTATGCACATTTATTGTATAGTCAACAGTAAAAGATGGTCCAAATACTGAACTACAAGCAAGGCATGAAAAAGATATGATTAAGAAACCATGCTAGAAACTTTTTAAACAGTGATGCTGACCCTGTCACATTGGATACTCTAAGGGACTCTAAACAGAGAAAGAGCTAGTTTAGAACATGGGAGGAGGGGCTTATATTCTGCTCTTTTAACTATGGCTATCACTGCAGTGGACATCCAAGCACTTTTAAATGCTGACATCTACACTAACAAATTAGCATTTGCTTTCTAAGTAGCTGTCACAAAAATTTATACAATCACTTAATTTTAAAAGTTATCTTACTCGGAAGGTTTAATTTTCACTTTCATTTCCATTTTAAGATGAACTCACATTCCCTACTTTAAAAACAATTTCTTTCTCTGTGTTCTTTCAATTAAATTATGAGCACTTCTTCTGTCCATGCTCAATTTTTTTCAGTTTTCTACTAAAGTGTACAAGTATTTTCTAGGAAAACTTTCTCTGATGCATTGTCTTGGTTCTTTCACTTGATGTAGAAGTGGACAGTCTATAGTTCTAAGGTAAGTTTCATGGTGAACCTATTATTTTTTCCTGAGGAACTGGGAGCAGCTTGGTGGGTTTACTCTCCAGGTTCATTTCTCTGCTGTCAGAAAGGATTTGAGTAAATTGGATCTGCCATGACTTGCCCTCTAACTACAAGATTTCCTACAGAATGACGGGACTTGAAGGATTCTATATATGAGATTTCATATAAATTCTACATAATTTGTGTGTTGTATTCCCTGAGCTATGTTTTATATACACATTACTCCTTTTTTCTGAAGAAGGGAGAAAATAAAAAAAACATTAAATTTGCCAGTGTATGTTAGCAAACAAATCCCTGGGATACCACACTTTACATTTTATTAGTATTTATACCATAGGTTCATAGGCTCACTTTTAATGGCCTTGTTAGACTCTGCAATAGAGATAATGATCTTCCCCTGTATAGGAGAGAGCTCAACTCTTACCCAAAAGGCAGATGAAGAAAGACCCATCACTAATGGCAGGAATTCTAATGTCTCTATATTATAAGCTAACAGCAGTCTTCCTCCTGATCACTCTAACAAATCAACATTCCCTGGAGACAGTAGAACTTTTGTAAGGCTGTCAATCTAAAATTGACTAGCTGGGTCCCAAGAAAGAAAAGCTTGTGTCCCTTATCAGTTTCATGCTAATAAAAACTGTCTTAGGGAAGTGCTCATGGTATTTATGTCATTTTTTTATGGTTACTCAGTTTTAAATTGCAAGCGACTATGACCAATCCCATGACTGATATGAATGTGTTTTACACACAGGGTCAATCTTGACGTCTGTGAGATTAATACCATGAAACATTGCTAACCTCCCATTGCCATGAATAGCATATTACATTCACATTTGCTCCTTGGCTTACAGCCCCTAGATTTCTAGGTCCTACAGGGAAAATGGTTCTTGCCCTAAGACATAAAATGATAGTAGTTACCTGTGTCATTTACCTGCATTTCTTTTGTAGGTTTGAGCAGCTGAAGCTCTTAGTGCCGAGCCTTCTAAATTCTAAGCTCTTCATTTTCACCCTGTGCTAGGTCTATACTCTGGGATGCTGCCAATCAGTCTTCTTCACACACTTCATCTTCCCTTTCTGAATTTTCAGTTCAGAGAAGAGGTGTGAGTTCACAAGTGGAGCATCATCTGCTGCTCTGGGTAATTTGACATCCTCATGGACTAATGGTGCTAACTGATCCATGCCGCTGTCCTGATGGCTCTGTGCCATATGTGTTCTCTTGGTGTGGATAGTACAAACTTAGATAGAAAGAACACTTAAGATTAAGATAAATTTTATCTATGCAATTTCTTCTATGGCAAAATTAAAATATAGAATCCAACACACGTGCAAAATTGCTTTGTTGACTCAGTTGCTAACCTACCCACGAATTACCTAACCTCAAGCATCAACTATCACCTGTGTCCTGTGAAGGAAAGGATGCAAATTTTAAAGACCTGATTCTTCAGAAACATAGACTTTCAGACACTGAAACAGATTCTGAGGCCTCAAATACTTAAAAAATAATATACATGTCTGTAAAGTCATATATAAATAAAAATGATAAGCACTTTGACTGTGAGCTCCTTGAGTGAGTTTTATATACATGTACACTTATAAATATATGACTATAAAAATAATGTACCAATTTTCAAAATATAAATTTGGTTTGACATGTGTTTGTGGAATGTTATTAAGTATAATGTGATTTTCCATTAAGAGATAGAAATGGAATCACTTCTTAGCCTTTTGGCTAAGACCAAGTACAGTACCTGTTCTGATCAGTTTAGTATGTGATATATCCTTTATCCAAGGACAATATATTAAATGAGTTTTTGGAATTAGGAGTGGGAATAGGAGCTTGCACTCTCCACTCCATACATCGACCTGTTAAACAAACTTTTTAAAATTAATGTATATAAATAGAAATTTTTATTGATATATTTCAATGTACATTTAATTGCACTAGAAGCATGTATTATTTTATGAAACAAATATTATACCTGAAATAAAGTCCTGATGACTCAAGTATATTTTATTAGTAGAAGCATTATTAGGTATATGTGAACATGTGTGTTATGATATGTATGTATGTGAATACTGGTGTTCATTTGCTATGGCAAGTGTGGTTGTCAGAAAACAGCTTTTGGGATTCATCTGTCTCCTTCCACAAGGTTCTAGGGTTCCAATTCATGTAAGTTTGGCTTATATGACAAGTTTTTTAACCTGCTGAGACATCTTGATGTCTTCCAAAGGTATCTTTACATGATAATGTGAAAAATCTAAGAGCATCACAGTTGACTGTCTGAATTTGAGGAGCGCTTGGACTATATAGTGATATCCAGCCCTTCCAGGGCTTCATAATAAGATCCTGTCTCAAAAAATAAAGAATCTAAGAGCACATATAAGCATATATGTATTTTACAAACACACACACACAAACTTGTAGACTGCAATATCCAATGATGAAAACTGAAGAAGAATGCTAAGGAAAAAAAATAAGGAAGTTTAATTTTTAGATGAGAAACAGCCATGATAAATTTTATATTTTCAATGACATGATATTAATATTTAGGTATTTAGGCTTATTAATAGTTCCTATAGAAAGAAAACTAAAGACATTCCTTTGACTAATTGGAAAAATGAGAATGAGAGGAGACTGTGTCTGTAAAAGAAGGGTCTTTGCTTCTAGAAACTAGAAACTTTTTTACAATTCTCTAACCCCTATGGACCATTGATGTGGGATTCCACTCTGTATGCCATGAATACCATTGTTTAATAAAGAAGCAGCTTTGGGACTATTGCAACACAGAGTAGGGCAAGGCAGGAATTTCAAGCAGAGAAAGGAGGAGAAAGAAGGAGGAGCCATTGAGATGCTATGTAAAAACCAGCAGGAGACAGATGCACTAGAAACTTGCCGATAAATTACAGCCACGTGAAGACACACAGATTAATAGAAATGGATTAATTTAAGATGAGAAAGCTAGCCGATAAGAAGCTAGAGCTAATATACCAAGCAGTGATTTAATTAATACTGTTTCTCTGTGGTTATTTCAAGTCTAGGCAGCTTGGAATGAGCAAGTAGCCTCCACCTACAGACCATGTTACTAACAAAGATTTATTTTACCAAATATAAAACTTAGGATAAATGAAAGAAAAATTAAATATTAATGACAAAGTTAATAATTCATCCACTCAACAGTTCATTCATTTAAAAATTACTCATAAAATATGTAAAAAGACACCATTTTATAAAACAGATTTAAAAAGTGGTCTTTTTATCTTTAACAAATAGTGCTGACATAACTGGATGTCAACCTGCAGAAGAATGAAAGTAGATCCATATCTATCACCATGAACAAAACTCAGGTCCAAATGGATTAAAGACATCAACATTAATCCGACCACTTTGAACCTGATAGAAGAGAAAGTGGGAGGTAGTCTACAAGATATAGGCACAGGAGACCACTTCCTAGGTGGAACCCCAGTAGCACAGAAATAAGAGAATCAATGAATAAATGGGACCTCCTGAAACTGAGAAGCTTCTGTAAAGCAAAGGAAACTGTCAGTAAAACAAAAGGGCTGCCTTCTGACTGGGAGAAGATCTTTACCAACCCCTCATCAGACAAAGGTCTGATCTCCAAAATATACAAAGAACTCAAGAAACTAGACACTAAAACTCTAATTAACTCAATTAAAAAATGGGGTACTGATCTGAACAGAGAATTCACAACAGATGAACTTCGAATGGCCAAAAGACACTTAAGGTCATGCTCTACCTCCTTAGCAATCAGGGAAATGCAAATTAAAACAACTTTGAGATACCATCTTACACCTGTCAGAATATCCAAACTCAAAAACACCAATGATAGCCTATGCTGGAGAGGATGTGGAGTGAGGGGAACACTCATCCATTGTTGGTGGGAATGCAAACTTGTGCAGCCACTGTGGAAATCAGTGTGTCGGTTTCTCAGGAAACTGGGAGTCAACCTCCCTCAGGACCCAGCAATTCCACTCTTGGGAATATACCCAAGAGATGCCCTATCATACCACAAAAGCATTTGTTCAACTATGTTCATAGCAGCACTATTTGTAATAGCCAGAACCTGGAAACAACCTAGGTGCCCCTCAATAGAAGAATGGTTAATAAAGGTGTGGAACATATACACATTAGAGTTCTACTCAGCGGTAAAAAACAATGACATCTTGAATTTTGCATGCAAATGGATGGAAATAGAAAACGCCTTATTGAGTGAGGTAAGCCAGACCCAAAAAGAGGAATATGGTATGTATTCACTCATATGTGGATTCTAACCATAATTAAAGGTCTTTGAGCCTATTATTTGTGATCCTAGAGAAGCTAAATAAGAAGGTGAACCTGTTGAAAATCATGTAGCTCTCTGCCTGGAGATTGGAAATAGACAAGAGTCCCAGGTAACCTCAGGTGCATGGGGGGGGGGTGGGAGGGTTGTTGGAAGGGGAGAGGGTTAGAGAGAAGGGAGTAGTGGAGGAATGGGGAAAGCTAGGTGGACTGGGATGGGGGGAGGGAGGAAGGATGGATATGAGATCAGGGAAGAATATATCTCAACTAAGGGAGTCATTTTAGGGTTTACAGGAGACTTGATTATAAATGGGATCCCAGGTCCAAGGAGAGATCCCCAGACTGTTCTCTAGACAGAGGAGAAGGTGCCTGAACCGGCCTTGGCCTATAACCATACTGATGAAGATTTTCTTATCACCATAGATCCTTCATCTGACGATGGATGGCGATACAGATGGAGACCCACATTGGAGCACCGGACTGAGCCCCCCAAGGTCCAAATGAGGGACAGAAAAAGGAAGAACATGAAAAAAACTCAGGACCGCGAGGGGTGCGATCACCCACTGATACAAGGGGACTGATCTAATGAGAGTTCACCAAGGCCAGTTGGACTGGGACTGAACGAGCATGTGATCCAACCAGATTTTCTGAACGTGGCTGGTCTGGAGCCTTTCTGAAAAGCCACTGACAATGACACTGGGACTTGTTTCCTCTGCATATGCTGGATTTTTGGGATCCAGTCTGTTCGGATACTCACCTTCAGGGACCTGGAAGGAGTGGGGAGGATCTTGAACTTCCCACAGGGCTGGAAGCCCTGACTGCTCTTAGGGATGAAGAGGGAAGAGGAGGGGGGGTGGGAGGGTGTTGGTAGGAGGGGCGGAAATGAAAACTTTCATAATTTAATAAACTTTAAAAAAAAACCCATTTAAGTGTTCTGTAACAAGACCTCCCAAAAAAGCCAGAGCAAGCATGTACCAGGAAGCCAGCATTGAAAGAAGCTTGCCTCTGATTGCCTTCAACAAACAGCCTATCTGGGAAAAAAAAAGTGACTGTCAAAAAGTCGTGCTTAACTCTGTTCTTATATGTCTAAAATCCCTTTTCAAACTCTCTCAGGTTTTATATAGATGCAGTCGCCCCACATTGGACACCATTATTTAAGCAGAGACTGCATTTGTTTCCCGGCCACCCTAACCTGAATAATCACACAGAAACTACATTAACTAAAACACTGTCTAGCCAATAGCTTAGGCACATTGCTACTTAGCTCTTACATCTTAAATTAACTTATTTCTATTCATCTGCATATCATCACAAAGCTACAGGGCATCTCTCTGACTTTGCCTATTCTCTATATATCTCTTTCAGCCTAGCTATATTCTGCCCTGCCATTGGCCAAAATGTCTTTCTATTAACCAAAGGTAATAAAACATATTCACAGCATATAGAGGGAAATCCCACATCCTGACTACTCTAGATTATGAGTTCTCTCTATCTAAAATATAAAATTCCTATTTGCAGAAGTTATAAAATCCTAAGAATATTGGCTTTTCCACCAACTTTGTTGAAATGAATCAAAGGTCAGAGGGTTGCCCTTAACCATATTTAACACTAGTACCAAGGCCAGAGTAGAGTTTTATTCTTACAATTCCATTTCTAAAGCAGTAATGATATACTCAGTTAGTCAAAAATTCCTCAGGTGTAAAGTATGGCCAATAGCTTATTGAAAAGAGTTATTTTCACCTGAACACACAGTACAGAGGTACTCAAATATTTGCACTATAAATATTTATTTTAATATCCCTTGGAAGATGAATAAGAACTCTAGAATAATGAAAAGAATAGAAAACTATAAATAAGGCCTAATGCAGCTTCAAATTGAGGTTTCTCTACTCACCTACTGTACTAATTTTGATTGTATGACTTAATCTGAATTTCCTTACCTACAAAATTTGATTAGAAGATTTTCTTGGTATTTTACAATTTTACATAAAATAATCATTTTACTTTTTATTATTTTTTTTCAGGTCTCCAAAACATTTGTGAGTCTTAAGAGTAGGTAGCACTCTTAGGAGTCGGATCCATGCCCAGCAGTAGCTGGCCAACACAAAATTAACTCAGTGGTATCTTTGGAAGCTCCTTACCTCATAATGCTAATTTGGGACATTTGATTTTTAACCTTTCTTTGTAATGTTATATGTTTTGGTCTATGGTTGCACGACGAACATCCAAACACATAAGCACAAAGCAACACATGTCTGTCATCTCATAGCTTTAGTAGGTCAGAGCTTGGACAAAGCTCACATTAGTCCATCTGACCTAGCTTTTCTTGTTTTCTAATCTTTCTGTACTACTAGTTAAGAATCTGCATTTAAGCTCACTCATGTTGACAGAAGAATTAATTTCCTTGTGGTGGATAAGTCCTAGTCCCTTGTCACATGGCCATGGCCATCATTCATAATGTAGAGTGATTAATGCCACCAGCAGTGAACTTTGGATGTGCTGTCATAACATGAGATGTCATTTTGTATGAATTTTTATTCAATTATCCTTAGTCATATTTATCTTTGTCAGTGACCACCAGCTTTGAGACAGACTCTATAGA